TTAAAAACTCTTGTTATATTCATATCTTATTTTACAAGATTGTTGGAATTAAGATTACTTGATTTTGTATTCCTTGCCGTTCAGGATTGTTGGAAGCAAGATGTTGAAAATGAGAGGATCACTCTCATTTCAACTTGGTTGATCCAATAGGATTGTTCTGGGTGGTTTTATTGGTAGTCTTGTATAGAAAAACTATGTTATCTTGTATAAAGATCTAACAATAATAAATTCTCTTTCGTGTTAAAAGGGGACTGAAGTACTCTCGAACTGTGAGGGGAACGAGGATACATCCTTGTGTTCTTTAGTTTTTCACATTTATAACTTTCATCTTAAATCATAACTAAAAAAGAAAGAAATACTTAAACACCAAATCAGAAAAATAAGAACAAGTATTCTAAAATCGGATAAATTTTCAAAATCCAAATTCATCCCCCTCTTAGGCGCACTCAAATACTTACAACTCAAATGTAATTGGTATTAGAGAAATAACATTGATAAATGATACAAATGTATGATCATGTATATCTTTCTTTTTTTAGCTTCAGGATCAACCACAAAAACTAGTACAATTTCTTGCATTATGACCATGTACGCCCTATCTTGTACAACAATAAATTGTTCCTCTACTTCAACATTAACTCCACCATCATATTTTTCATCTACTTCAATATTAACTCCATAATTATATTGTTCATCTTCTTCAACATTAACTCCAACTACGCCTCTAACAGAATAATCTGTGGATCTATGCACTTGCAGGTGATGAAGATCCACATCTGAAGTTTTGATGACGAAAATGCATGGTAATAGCTTTCAACCCTCTGTTGATGGTGACCTAACCAGACAAATATCTCATGCCTCATCAACATATAGAGACTCAATATTAAAGTGCTTATATGATCGATGCATCTAGCAAAAGTCTTGGGAATCTTAGAGTAATAAAAGAGAGGAAGTGTGAATGCTCATCAAGTTTTGTCTATTTATCTGAGTGACCCGAGTTTTATAAAAGTAAGGAAGTAACTTTAAAGTACTAAGTCAAATCTCTCTCTCTCTCTCTCTCTCTCTCTCACACACACACACACACACACACACACACACACACACACACACACACACACACACACACACACACACACACACACACACACACACACACACACACACACACACACACACACACACACACACACACACATATGCACACACGCACACACACACACACACAAAATTAAAAATCACTTTCAAAATGTTTTTATCTTAAAAATTGTTTTCTAGACCAAGCCAAGTGATTATAAACTTGTTCCAATCAATTTGAAAAACGTTTTCTGCCAACCAATGGATTAAAATGTAATGCTAATTGATTAGAAAAGTGATAATCAATTAGCCAAGTGACGTGGACAACATCTTAATGACTTGTAATGACCCTATATCCAATCTTTCCCATTTGTGCATGCCAATGGATTATATTTGAGTTGTCTAATCGATTGGAGCATTTTTCCAATCGATTAAATAATTAATTCAACCCATGAATTATTTTCTTTCTTGGTTTTTCCAACTACTATATAAGAGAGGCACACCTTCACTTCAAATCACATCACTTTTCAATATTTTCATATTTCTTTGGAATTTATCTATATCCCTTTCTTTATAAGAACATTGTTATTCACTTCTAATTGCCTCAGTGCTAGTAAGTGAAACTATACTTGTTAGGAAGATATTCTTTTTTGTAATTAGTCATGATGGTCGTTTATATTCTTAAGGGTGAGATATCTTTAAGAGATTGAGTTTGGTTCTTGATATCAACATGTTATAAAATATTTGTTCTTGGTTTAATAAGATTTGCTGGAAAAATATTTGTTTTGGTTATTGAGATCAACCTTAAATATCTAAACGGTTTGTTAGCTTAGTCTGGGATAAAAACTATCATTGGTTGGGGATAATCCTGTAAAAATCTCAAGATCAAATTGTATTAAGGTTCATGAGAATAACCTTCAAAAGCTCAAAGTTTATAGGTAAAATATCAAGAAGAACTCTTGGAGATAGGACTAGGCCAACGTTAAGTCAAACCTATATAAATCTCTGGTGCAATCTTTCTAACTCTATCTTTTTACTTTTCTGTAATTTACTTTTAACATTTTATTTCCGCTGCGATTACTCACTTAAAGACTACTAATACGATCTTAATCGAGAAAGGTTAAAATTAATCATAAATTTTAAATATCATAATTAACCACCCTCTTGTGCTTGAAGTCACTTGTCTAACAAGTGACATCCGAGCCTAACTCCTGTTAAAGACTAATCATCTTAGGAGGAAAAATGACTTCAACCTATTCCCTAAACAAACCCTCATTCTTTAATGAAGAATGATATAGTTTAGGGAAATAGAAAATTAAGTTTTTCATAGAATGGATGGATCATGGTATTTGGAAGATTGTGAATGAAGGTCCATTTGTTCCTACATATATAGTTAATGGTGTTGTAGAAAAAAAAACTAAAAAGGATTGGACCAAATATGATAAAAGAATGTGTAGCACAATTTGAAAGTGAAAGCTGTCATCACTACCACTCTTGGTCTTGATACGTTTTTGAAAGTTTCTCATTACAAAAATGAAAAATAAATGTGGGAAATCTTCCAAATCACTCATGAAGGAACTATTAAGGTGAATAGGGAAATGTTAGGCTCATTAACCCATGAGTATGAACTATTCAAAATGAAAACTTAAGAGAGCACTAATCAAATGCAAATACGATTTACCCATATCGTGAGTCATATGAGAACTCCGAGAAAAATATTTTCAATTGGAGAATTGGTTATAAAGATTCTTAGATGCCTAAAATGTAGTTGACAACCTAAAATCATTGTGATTTGTGAATATAAGAACTTAGCAACCATGGACACACGCACACTCTCTTTGGTAGTTTGCATGAATATGAGATGAAGCTGGAAATACTTGCTGATGATGAACAAGATAACAAAAAGAATAGGAAAAGTATTGCACTTAAATCTACTATCATCGAAGATATGGAATCAGAAGATGAATACTGTTAAAGTGAGGTTAATAAATTCGTGAAGTTCATGTTTCAAAAATTCAAGGAGTTCTTAAGCCACGAATAACAAACTTCAAGACTTCAGAAGAAAAGTGAAGAAAGTTCATCATCCATTCCTACATATCATCAATACGGAGAGAAAGGACATATAAGACCAAACTGCCCTTAAAATCCGAGAAGAAACCAAAATCAAAGAAAGTTCAAAAATTCCAAAAAGAGTGCATACATATCCTGAGATAACGATGATATGGAATCTTCAAATAAAGAAGAAGCAAACCTCTTTCTCATGGAAAATCATCAAGACGATGAGGTAAATTAGAACAAATTATCTCTACCTTCAAAGACATTATCTCTTCCTTTGAATTGAAAAATAAAAACATGTTGGAAGAAATATAAAGTCTTAGAGAGAGACAATATGATCTAATTCAAAACTCTTCTTCGTCTCATAAGACTCTAGACAAATCTATCAAGTGTGATCAATGTGACATTTTGAAAAATAAAATTGATGATCTTCAAAACATACTTTATAAGTTCACTAAATGAATAGATAACTTGAATCTTTTGTTAAGTAACCAAAGTGAATATTACAATAGGGCCTGTCTTGGTTATGAACTCGAGAATAATAGTAAAAGTTTTAGCAATATTTGCAATGCCAAACAAACATCTAAATGCAAAATCATAAAATGAAATTATTGTAATAATGACGCACATGTAGCCATGTTTTGTTTCATCAAAAAGAGTCATGAGATCGAATAAGGACTTCATACTTTTATAAAGAGCATTGTAAACGTAAACATAGAAGTATGTCTACTACTAATATTAAAGGACCCAAAAAAATATGAGTACCAATGATACAATTGAATAAACAAATATGTTCTACTGTACCACTCCTACAAGGGAATAAATCTCTTCACCTAATAACAACATGACAAATTTATTGAATTCTTGATTTTTTGGTATCTCTTAAAGAATGTCTTTGAAAGATGAAAATAAAGGGAAATAAAAATATTAAAGACAAGAGTAAGTCTAAATTCAAAATAGATAAATTCAAGTTAAATAAGTCAACTAAAGAAACTTTATCTTAAGAACAAAGGAGCATTAAGGACCATTTCATTCAGAATGTTAATGAATATATTTTTAAGGAAATTGCGTCTCAACATACCTTAGCAAGGTATGCAACCATATGGCTTTTGTTTCACAAATTGAGCCATAGGAAATTGATGAAGCTATCATTAAATAATATTGGTCTTTTACTATACAAGAAAGGTTAAATCAATTTGAGAGAAACAACAGTTGAAAACTCATTAACCTAGTTGAGTTGATGGAACCTTAGTGAATCTTTAGTAACAAGCTTGATGAAAATTATAAAATAAACAAGAATCGTTACAAAATATTACAATAAAAGCATATATCTTAATGAAATTTATGTTCATGCACCTTAACTTGAAGCCATGAGGATGATTCTAGCCTTCTCATGCGTTTTTCATAAAATCTTCCAAATGAATGTAAATAATGCGTTCTTGAACTATTACATCCATAAGGAATTAAACATTGATCATTCTCTTGATTTTGTAAAACTCTTATTACTTATGTTTTCATAATAAAAACGGGCCTCTACGATCTAAGACAAACTCTTAGAGATTGGTGAAAAATTTTCTGCTTGAAAACAAATTTCAAAGAAGGATGATACAACTCTTTTTCAAACAAAGCATACTTCTCTTATGCATGATTTTTTTATTCTATGCTACTAACAAATCTACGTGCAAGGATTTTTCTGATATATTACAAATTAAAATATTGGAGAACTCTTTTAAGAGTACAAGAAGAAGTGATTGTCAATCCTGATGGATTTAACCAAGACGTTGATTATGTCTTTCAACGCAAATGATCAAAATGATGATGCTGATCACGAGAGGTTAAGGTGATAAATGTGTAATTGATTTATCATTCCTATGGTTGGACCAACTCTCGTTGGTGAGGATGGGGATTCAATCAGTCCTTTTTTTAACCATATAACTTGTGTTTTCATAGATAACATGAATCAGTTGAGTCAATTGCGAAAAGCTCTGGCGTCTGCGAATGATCAAGGCCTTACTATTGGTTTATCCGTCCCGGTGCCGGGGCACCTGCCATTGCTTCTACTTCTATTCCGGAGGCTCGAATTCCTTCTGGTGATTTCCCCAGAGGTAGTCAAAACTACTGTCCCAGTTCTGGTTCCTAAAATGGGTCAGCCGACTACTGTCGCAGCTGAGTTATCTATTTGAGAATAAAATTGGTATTATCGAAAATTGGGGTGTGTCTGGTTTAATTTGAGAATCACTTGAAAATGTTTCCATCCGTGTACCTAACACTACCCACATAGATGTGTTTGAAATTGTGCATGCATGACCATTGATTTGTTGTGGCAAAATATAATAGTTTTTTATTTTAAAGAAAGGATTCAATATCTCATTTAAAAATTAATTTTTTTGTCCTCTATTTCAAGTTTTATTGTATTTTAATCTCTCAGTATTTTGAGTAAATTTTAGTTACCACACATATATTTAAATTTTCAAAGGATTTTTGAGAAACCAGAAGGGTGGGATATAATTTCCATTGAAGTTAGATAACTAACAAAGGCATTCATATAAACTTGAAGTATACAAAATAATAAAAATGAAAATACACATTTAGTACTCATATAACTATGAAGCTACACATTATACTTCCAAAATGAAAATACACCTTCAGTACATACTAATCAATCAAAACTTAATACTGATGAATATTCATTTGATCCTGCAGTTCAAATATCCTTGAATGATGTTGGTCGTTTGTTTGATTTTCCACCTAGCATAATGATTTAGATCAAGCAGACTGTAAGGAACCTGAAAGAAGTGCAGAAAACAATTTCCACATATACAGGGACACAAACATTCAAATCCCTTAGATTGGTTTCTAACCCGACTCACTAAAAATGAACAATGAAAGAAAATATCATTAAAATATTAACTATTGCAAAGATGAAGGATAATTATGTCACGAAAAAAGAATCAACTATTGACACCATTAAAATATCAAAATGAACATAACAACAACACATGACTTTTGATTAAAATTGAAGTGACAGTGAGACGATTGAACAGTCCACCTTCTTTTGTATATGTAACTATCAACAAACCCTAAACCCTAAACTAATTAAATAGAGAGAAATTATTTTACCTAGAGTTACTCTTCAAGTAGACCTCTAGTAATCATTTCACGAAGAAGTTTTTCTGCATTTTCTTTCTCATTTTTATAAAAGAGAGCACGTATAATAGTTTCATAAATTATAGCATTAGGAATGATACCATTGTATTCCATTTTAGAGAACAAGGCCTCTACTTCATCAAACAAGCCCTTTCTACAAAGTCCATTGATTATAATATTATACGTTTGGATATCTAGTCTATAACCCTTAATCAAAAGATCCTTAAAAAGATCTTGTGCGTTCTTAAGTTGTCCTTCCTTTCAAGATCCTTAATTAAATTGAAATCGAGTATAAATAAATTTTTAAATTTATAATCTAAGATTTGGATACCAAGGACATGGTGGAAAATTCTCAGGATCAAGTGGAAGGCCATATTTGAAATTTCTCATTAATAGGGGACAAAATAGTAAATTCATAAGGCTTTATTTATAGAGGAAATTTGAAGTGAGAATGCAAAATCCTCTTCTTAAAAATAAGAGGGTTCACGTGAAAGAATGGAATGGAGGAGAAGGAAATCTCTCCTCTAATAGTTGATTAAGGCATGTGTTCTCCACTCTACGAGTTGAGATCCTCCCTATTTCTCAAAAGAAATGGAAATCTCCATTACTAACGTTTTAGTGTATAATGTATATATGTTCTTGAAAAGTCTGACATATATTTGTATAATTTAACTTTTATATCATGAAAAATTTAGTAATGGAGCTCTCCGTTTCTTTTGAGAAATAGAGAAGATATCAATTCCCACTCTTCTACTCTTAAAAAAAATTAAAATCACCTTTATCTTTATTTAAATCAAGAGAAATCTCACCATTGTTGAGAAAGTTGATTATGAACATCATATGACTTAAAAAGGCTTAGCTCAAGGTTGGAGGAGGTTGAGAAGAACTAGGATTTGGACATGCATGTCGACAAGAAGGAAGATAGATCATCATTAACTTTGTCATCATATTCAATGTTTGAATAGAGTGAAATTGCATGCAGTCGACATCGTTTATTTTGATGATCTGTCCATATTTGATCTTTATATGTATAATTTGATATATCACTTGTGTATAATGCATTTGTAATTTGATTTTAATTTTATCGTTTCATTTGTTTAGACATGTACATTAAGACACTTCTATATTGAATCTATTGGATTTGGACCTATGAGAATGTGTTTTTTACCTTTGCAATGTGATATTAACCAAAACTTTGAGTGTAGCTTGAATCACAAGTTAGAAGTCTTAAATTAAGGTTTTTATTTAGCATGATTTGAATGAGATATGTTATGATTTAAATCAAACACTACTGTGGAAGTTTAGAATTTTCCCATGTCAGTCTGATTTGAATCAGGAGAGTGTATGATTCAAATTACAACACTTCTTGACTCGAATCACATGGAGTTTGATTCGAAACATGAAATCAAATTTTATTCAAAACAAGTTGTGATTCAAATCATTTTTCGTGTGACTCGAATTAAAGACTCAGATCCATAATTTAAGTCAAACTAATAAAGTTTGAACTTTACTACCTCTGATTCAAATTATTCTTTCTTTGATTCTAATCACAACTTATGATTTAACTCAAATTATATTATACTTTACCTATCATTTTTATGCCTCATCTCTAGCACCTATTTAAACCTCCAGTCTTGTCTCTTCGCTAAAAAAATCACTAGTGATATAATGTAAAATCATGAAACATTAACTGATGTCAAGTGAAGAGAAATTATTTTGATAATTTGTTGAATATTTAGGAAAGAGAACCCATAATATTCTCCAAGAACTAAATATTTCTTCGTCAAGAATCTTGAGAGAAATCATGAGAGTTTTCTTCATTCACAAACATGATATCTCCTTGAGTCAACCTTGTGAATAACTTCAAAAAGTGTTGAGATCATGAGAGTTTTGTCGATGTGTTGTGTGAGATCCTTTAGATGATATCCATCATCTTCAACCTTATACCAATAATCCATTGTTGTGCTGCTCAATTCTGAATATTGAGTGAGAGATGTATATTAAGTTACATTAGGGAATCTAATGTATTTGTGAACTTGTTTTTGTGTGTATCAGGAGAAATGATAGTTTATTATTGACATTATTGATTGGTGCTTATCAAGAAAGAGAAGATTTCTCTCAGTACTCCAAAGAAGATTTTGGTCGATATGAGTAAAGGTTGCCACAAAACAAAGTTGTGATTTATCTAATCATTAATGGTTAGAATAATATCTTAGAAAAGTGTCAGATCCAAGTAAATATTGTGAAAGAGAGGAAGTGTATTCGGCACAATCTGATCTGTCGATATGGTGTACCAGAGAGGATCATTACGGACAATGGTACAAATCTCAACAATACGATGATCATCGAGCTCTGCAAGCAGTTCAAGATACAACATCATAACTCTTCTCCTTACCGGCCAAAGATGAATGGGGCTGTTGAAGCGGCTAATAAGAACATCAAGAAGATTGTGCAGAAGATGACGGTGACATACAAAGACTGGCACGAGATGTTACCATTTGCTCTTCATGGGTACCGTACCTCAGCGCAGACGTCAACATGGGCAACCCCCTATTCCTTGGTATATGGTATGGAGGCAGTCTTGCCCGTTGAAGTTCAAATACGCTCTCTTCAGATTATGAAGGATGCAGGTTTGAGCGAAGACGACTGGATCCAGACCCGGCTTGATCAGTTGAACTTAATCGACAAAAAGAGACTTACTGCTATTTGTCATGGTCAAACGTATCAAAAACGGATGATCAAGGCATTTAACAAGAAAGTTAGACGACAAGAGTATCAAGTTGGGGATCTGGTCATCAAACGCATCATATCACCTCAAGGTGATCCCAGGGGCAAATGGACCCCTACGTACGAAGGACCATTTGTGGTTAAGAACATTTTCTCGGGAGGAGCTATGATTCTAACCACCATGGATGGTGACGACCTTCCTCACCCCGTCAATGAAGACATAGTGAAAAGATACTACGCATAATCAAAGACCCGCTAGGTCGACTGACCTAGGCAAAAATAAGGGCTTCCCGGCGAACCAAAAGGGTTCGGGCAAAAATAAGGGATGAAAATGAAAAATCTGTACACCCGGCAAGTCGAAAACCTGAAAAGGAGGCTTGGGCAAAAAAGGGTATCCCGGTGGATTGAAAACCCGAAAGGGCGGTCCAGGAAAAAATCGCCTATTTACAGGCCAAACTTCAAAGTCAATACAATTCATTTTCACAAAGAAATTTCAAATTGTTTTTTTTTTCTTTTTCTATTTTGTTTTGTAAGAACATCCAATGTTCATTTTTAATATATGCATTTGACAATAATTGTTGTTCATAAATATTTACATGCGAAAGAAAAAACGATTACTCGTAATATCAGAAATAGGGGCAAATAAGAATTGTCTAGACATTACAGTTGCTCTGTCCACCAGGTACAGGGATAGATTTAGCTGAAGAACATGACTAAGGTACATTCACTCCCCGCAGAGTAAGAAAAAGACAGTAGTGTTAATTCTCCCCAGCTGAGGCTCGTAATCGTGAATGAGTCGGTAAAATTCTCCCTAAGCAGAGTTTATCTATCAACAACACTGGAAAATTATCCCCAGCAGAGTCGTCAGTTCTGTGATACGGTGGCCAGAACCGGGACGTGTTTCCCTTTTTTAAGGAATTTAGTTGTTTGCCTTTTGCGTTTGTGTTCGCAAAATGTCGCGGTGAGCAAGAGTCGCCACCGACTTTTATTTTATCCAACAAGGAAAGGAAAAAAGCACAGAAAAATTCCTTTTTCGAGATATTTCTGAGTACGGGGGGGTAGATTATAGAAAGGGAAGGTATTAGCACCCTTTTTATCCGTAGTTTTCTATGGGCTCTTAGGTACTTGCTCAAAATCAAACTTTTCCACACTTACACACTTTTCAAACAATGTTTTCAAAAACACTTCGTAACACTCTTGAGGACTGATACAAGGGTTAAAACGAAGTAAAACAAAATATTTTCAAAACACACAAACACAAAAGCAATTTTTAAAATGATGAGCAAGTACCTAAGAGCCCGTAGAAAAC